GGCAGCTCCGGGCTCGGGGGGACGCAACTGCTCCGTGCCGGGGTGTCACGGCCAGCCCCTCCGAACCCTGCTTGTAGCGGACAATCCAGCTCCGCGGTGCTGAGCGGGGAGCTGCAGCCGGGGCAGGCACAAGCCTCGCTTCTCCCTGCACCCAAACACACCGCATCCCTCCGGCTGCCAGAACCGACAGAGCAAGCCAGCCGCTTTGGCATGTCCGCCCTGCTGCACGTGGTTGGGCTTTGGCTCCTTCCCGCAGCCAAATGTATCGTGTATTCAGCTCTCCCCGAGCCACTGAAACAGTCGTGAGCCAAACAAAGCGTGGGGAAGCCGGGATAGGGAAATAATGAGAAGACTGTGGAGTAAAATACTTCATACATACTGCAAGAACAGCATGAAAAATACCCACACTTCATCTAAATATTGTTCAAAACAGGAAAAATAACCAACATCAGGTTTTCCTTTACAAGTGTATCAATGTAAGGACCCAGGCCTTTGGTCAAACTTAATTATTAGATTTATATAATCATAGAGAGATAGAATGGCAGCAAAATGCTGTGTGCCACACACAGCCTTCCCCCCCCCCCCCCAATTAAATAGCCACAGCAAGAGTTTATAGTCACTCTTTTCCTTCATGGAGTATCTGTTTGAGCAATAAAAACTTCCTTTTAACATCCACCATGCTGAAGTTTTAACATAGACCTGTAAAACAAACTTTGAATCTATACACTGTTTGCCAGTACTGATGAATAAATGATCAACTATGCAATTAGAAAAGGCTGTAGTTTTTGTGATGTGAATTCACGTTGGAAATTCATACCAATTTTAGAAGTATTACCAATCGCAGAGTGATTCCTCAGACCCAAAATGAAACATACCTCTAGAACTGGCATTATATCTAAAACAAATGTAACATCTCTGAACATCCACTATCTGAAATATTTTTAAAATGTTATTTCTGTGTTGTGGCCAAAACTTGGTGTCATCCAACACAGGAAAATTATTATAAAGTAGTACTCCTTATCCAAGACAAAACAATCTCCTGGAGAAGAAAGTCAGCATCCAGCTTGATTGAGTAGCAGGATGAAATATGGCAGCATAATGCAACTTGAAGTATGAAAAGTGCAAAGGAAGAATATTCTCTCCAGATATGGCCGTGAGGAGTTCTTTTCAGAAGGAAAACCACACCCAATCCAAATATATATTGGAATAAAATTTTAAAACCCAGCAACATACTCTTCTCTCTACTTTTACAGTTTCTGACCCTATGGTCAATATCTGGCTTTTGCTTTATATTTTTTGCAACACTTGGAGATGATTTGTACATACATGAGTGCCTTCCAGCCAGAGTTAACTAGACTGAAAGAACAACAGAAGCAGAGTGAGAGGAGAATTGCGGAGCAAGAGGGAGTTTTATTGCCAGTCATTATATATTTGCAAGATTGGGTTCTTTCCCTTCTTTTCATATTTTGCAACATCACTGTTGAAACAGCTCACTTAGCACTTATCTGATATTCCAGGAAAACAGTGGAATCCTTTATCCAGATGCAGAACAATGCTACTCACTGAACAGATAAATTTTGAGGTCTTGTGAAAGATAAAAAGATAATCTAAGCTATTATTTTTTCCTTAATGTTTTTAAAAGTTACTCTGAAAGGTCACTTACCAATTATTAAATTTTCTGCACCAATACCCTTTCCGCTCTGAAGCACTTTGCAGACATTTTACTTTTAATAGGTGGCAACAGACAGTATATTTTGTCAACATCCTCCTCCTCTTCTAAAGAGCCTGTTACCCCATGAATCAGCTTTGGGTCTCAAGCCTTCTCAAAGCCAACTGACTTACAAATAAACTGTTGCCTCTGGTCCCTTCAGAAATGGGTAATTGTACTTGTTTCTTGTGTGTCCTGCACAGAAATAGTCTTCTCTTTGGTAGGTATTTTACTGAAGTGGTAGCTGCAGGTTAGGCCACTTGCCAAATTTCACTCTGCAGAGTGGTGAGTGTCCCAATTCTAGTTTCTTTCTGCAACTGCAGGTGACACCACTTCAACTGTGCAAACTCTGCCCTGGTTATCCAATAATTCTGTGATTATACATTAGACTTTCCTAGACACCACTATTACCACATCAAGTCATGCTACTCGGTAATGAGAAAATGTCTTCCTGTTTTATTAGCAATAAGTTATTTTGGCAAGTATGTCTAATCTTTTCCAGGCAATTAACATAATTATGAAGGAAGAACTGGCTCTAGGAAAGTACAAGAAAAGGAAGAGACCTGCATCCCCACAACCTATGGTTAACTATGAAAGTAGAAAACTGATCAATCTGCCGCCAGCAAGTTAATGAGAAAATCCATTGTTACTCCAAGACTTCTTGTTTCATCTGCAATGTGATACATCAATTAATATATACATAATCTGCTTTAAGTAATTAAAATTGTTAGTTGTTCTAATCAGTTTATCAATTCACATTTTTGTTTGTGGTGTTTTGGTGGTGGTGTTGTTGTGTTTGAGGTTTCTTTGAGACCCTTGACAGGCTTGAAGAGCAAGTCTGGGGGAAGCCCTTTTGACAGCAAAGATCAGACTGGAGAAAAGATATTCCTCTGCCCAATATTTAATACTACTTTTCATGCATATATAGGTATAAATGGAAATACAGAATGTGTCCAGTGGTATGAAAGCAAACAGTTCACTTGAAAAGCCAATTGCACTCTGTGTCCATAGACCTGGCATATTATTGAGTCTTTTAAACTGAGCAGTTACAGATTTTTCTTCAAAAATGTTTTTCACTTTTCATCAAGCTATGAGAGAAAAACCCTGGCTCTGCTGAAGTCAGAAGTGCATAATTTACCATTGATTTTCAGAAAGACAGATTTTTTGCTCCTATTTTTTTTTCCCCTGCATTGCTTGGAGATTGCACAGAAGGCATTGAAATGGATTATCTGGGTTTGTTACTGCACAACATCCAAAATATGGAGCAATTAGAGTCATAGATCCAGAAGATGAAAAGGAATCACCATGATCAGTTTGACCTCCCAGCAATTTTATTCAATTTAATGTGTTATCTTCAGAACATTTAGTAGCCATGAAGCAGCAGGTACACTGCGAGTGCCATTCATAAGGCAAAATACAAGTTGTTCCACTGTTACTTTATGTTTCTAACACTCATTTCTTTATCCCATCTATCTGCAGCATTTCTCTCTGTCTAATGTAGATTCTTTGGGGACTTCTTCCTGTTGCATGTGTACACTGCATCTTGTCCAGCTGAGTCACCGTCAGCAGCTGAAGTCTTTTTGTGATGCTCCCACGTAAATAATATGAACATCACAACAAGATAACAGGAGATGGCTCAAAGACCAAACTGAATCACACTCCATAATTTCATTTTAATTTCTGGATCTTATTCTCTTTTGACGTTAACCAGCACTTAGATTTTTGTTTCAGTGACAGCAGGATGAAGCATTAAATCTTTGTTAATTTGTGTAAAACCAATTCTCATCTGTTCTCTCATACCGCATAGGAAGATAAAAATTAAAATCACTTGGTTTGGTTATAATGCTCCTGTTTTATGAGTAAAGTAGATTCAGTTAAAAATCTTCAACAGGCTGAAATAAAAATCTATTTGACAGCCTGTAGTTCTTCTGTCAATGGTAATGCCCCTTGGAGGGCGTATCGCTTTCATCATCAAACACTAACCTTAGTAGTGAATAGTATTCCTAGCAGGCTACTTTGTGTTGCTGGGCTTGCTGTCAGTTCACAATAGCTGAAAAAGCAGATTATGTCAGTCAGTTTTCACTTTCCTTTATTTGTTTCCAATGAAAACTCAGAAATAGCTTAGTTCCAAATGAGTTCTAAAAATTACAAAAGAACCTTATCCCAACACAGCTAGGCTGTTATCAGCCAAAGCAGGAGCACTCTAATAGACAAAAAGTATATATATATTTATTTATTTATTTGAATTTGAGTTAAAGACCTAATGTATTAATCTGCTTCATCTGATGGTAGGGTTCAAGCTGCTTTGGTTGCAAGGTACTGTACTC